AAAAAATTCTTTTTTATATTTTTAACTTTATAATGCTATAACTTTTTGAAAGATGTATGGATCAATATAATTCTTTTTTTTATAGATGCATAATGTATTTACCTATCATTTGGTATATTTTTTTTATATATCTGACTCTTTATCTTTATCTTTAGGGGGGGATTTAAAATGACAACTTTTTCACAAAAAATTTACTTTTTCAACTTAATTTTTTGAAGTGTTCCGGAAAGTCTGACACTTTTATTTATATCTTAAATTAAAGCTAATGTAATTTACTTTATTATGAAAAAAAAAAATTTCGGCCTTTATTTTATCTTCACGGTGAAAATAGCTACCGAATGCTATTATTATGTGAAAATTCTCGATTTTATTTTTTACATTTTTAACTTTATAATGCTATGACATATTGAAAAGTGTATGGATCAACATTATTTTTTTATGGGAAATACTATTTTCTAATAATCTCTTTTTTATTCGACATACTTTGTCTTAATCAGGATATTAATAAGGAACTAGCAGTTTATGATCCTTTTGGAATAATCCACCAATTTTTTAAAATTAAACACTATCTAAAGATTTGCATCGAAGCGTTTATTTTTGATAGTGATTTTAATCACTGTCAGATATCATTATACTTGATCCATCTATGCCACGTCACCACTGTGCCGCGACCCCCCTGTGCTGGGTTTTTTATTACGTTAACCCTATACCTGCCTTGAAGGGAGGATTCAAAATGACAACTTGTTCAACTTAATTTTCGAAAATGTTCCGTAAATACTAACACTTATATATATATCCTAAATTAAAGCTTATATAATATACTTTATTATAAATTAAATTATGAATTTAATATAAGATTTGCATAGAAGTTTTTTTTATGATAGCGATTTTAATCACTGTTAGATTAAATCTATACTGGACTCAACTATGCCACGTACCCACTGTGCTGAGTTTTTTACTTTTTGTATTTAAAATAGTTATAATTTTTAAAAAAACTAATGATTTAAACAATTTTTTTACAAATACTTTAGATATATCCCTTTTATTAGATATATTTTTTAAAAATACCTACAAAATGGGTTCAAAATAGCAAAATTTGTAGACTAAATTAATTTTTTCTACTTAAAATGTGCCGGATTTCCTGCATCCTTAGAACCAATATTAAATTAAAGCTATTGTAACATGTTGTAAACTGAAGTCAAATTTTATGACCACTTGTCTCAGTTTTTCTTGTTGATTGTATTGAAAAAATCAAACTTTTTTTGTAAAAATGGTCCCATTTTATTTTTTGATTTTCAAATTTATATTTCTATTGTTAGAAACTCAGAAAATAAGGACAACTAAGCTACGGGACCGGGAATTAAACTCATGGCCTTTTAACTCTACCATACATAATATTCAACTTCCAAGTCTCTTAAGTGACTGATAATCCTATAAATTTTTGAAAATTAATGAATAGACCCGTTTTTTTTTTTAAGAAAATATTAGACAATTAATTTTGGAAGTCATATTTTTTTATTTATTAACAATTTTCTCGTACATGGAAATATTTGTATTAAATCTAATATTTAAATTATAGTGTACTAAGCTAACATTTGAAAATAATTTCGAATTCTTGGGACCTTAAAACTTAAATGAAATCAAAACTTGTATTTTGTACAGGCTAAATAAACATATTGACGACTTTATTTTTCCGTGTATAACCCCTAAACTTAAAAATAAAATAATATTTTTGTGTAAAAATAACTTTTTTGCCATTATTATTTTTGACCTTAATTGTTTTTTCACCGGTTAGGACCTATGCTTTAAAAAAATCATTAAGATTTATTTTGTTAAAAATAAATAATTTTAGAAAAGATTTTTGCAAATTTTGGATTACATCCCAAAAGTATATTAAGGAGAAGCTATAGAATTTTCTCCAGATAATTTTTCTAAACTACTTGTGACCTAAAATAAATTTACATTTCAATTTTTATTTTTTTTTTAGTAAAAATAGTACTTTCTCTAATGAATATGCACTATTAGATTTCATCTATTATATTTAATTTTATATTAAATAAATAGCACACATTTTTCAACCACTTTCGTATCTATATTATTATTACTATTTTTAATTCTATTTATATAATGAAAAACTATAAAGCCAATCGCAGCGGAAAAAAAACCCAGCACAGGGGGGTCGCAGCACAGTGGTGACGTGGTATAGATGGATCAAGTATAATAATGATATCTGACAGTGATTAAAATCACTATAAAAAAAAAACGCTTCGATGCAAATCTTTAGATACTGTTTTATTTTAAAAAATTGGTGGACTATTCCAAAAGCTTCATAAACTGCTAGTTCCTTATTAATATCCTGATTAAGATAAAGTATGTCGAATGAAAAAGGGATTATTAAAAAATAGTATTTCCCATAAAAAAATTATATTGATCAATACACTTTTCAATAAGTTATAGCATTATAAAGTTAAAAATATAAAAAATAAAATCGATAATTTTCACACAATTTTAGCATTTGGTAGCCATTTTCACCGTGAAGACAAAATAAAGTACGAAATTTTTTTTTTACATAATAAAGTAGATTACATTAGCTTTAATTTAAATATATATAAAAGTGTCAGACTTTCCGGAACACTTTCAAAATTTAAGTTGAAAAAGTCAATTTTTTGTGAAAAATTTGTCATTTTGAATCCCCCCCTGTAGGCAGGTAAAAAGTCAGATTTATAAAAAAATTATACCAAATGATAGGTAAAGACATCATGCATCTGCATAAAAAAGAATTATATTGATCCATACATCTTTCAAAAAGTTATAGCATTATAAAGTTAAAAATATAATATAATATTTTTTACAAAAATCGTATTTTTTTTATTAAGTTTAATGTCTGTTTTTATCATGAAGATAAAGTAAAGTCCGAAATTTTTTTTTTACCATTATAAAGTATATTACATTAGATTTAATTTAAGATATATATAAAAGTGTCAGACCTTCCGGAACACTTTCAAAAGTTACGTTGAAAAAGTTCTACTTTCTATATGCATTTTTATGTTTTGAATCCCCCCTGTATTTAGGGAAATGGTCCGATTTTAAAAAACAGTATGTCGAATGAAAGATCTATATAAATACTACTTCTCATAAAAAAATTGTAATGATCCATACATTTTTCAAAAAGTTATAGCATAATAAAGTTAAAAATGTAAAATACAAAATCGAAAATTTTCACACAAAAATAGCATTTGGTAGCCATTTTCACCCTGAAGATAAAATAAAGTCCGAAATTTTTGTTGTCCATGATAAAGTATATTACATTAGCTTTAATTTAAGATATATATAAAAGTGTTAGACTTTCTGGAACACTTTTAAAAGTTAAGTTGAAAAAATTAATTTTTTGTAAAAAAGTTGTCATTTTAAATACCCCCCTGTGGGCAGGTAAAAAGTCAGATTTATAAAAAAAATATACCAAATGATAGGTAATGACATCATGCATCTATAAAAAAATAAATTATATTGATATATTTATTTTTAAAAAAGTTACGGCAGTTTTTAGTAAAAAAAATTGAAAAAATTTCGAAAATTAGCCATTTTTAAATTTGTTATTTTTTCGAAGGTTTCCCCCATTTACGGGGAACGAGGGAATTTTTTTCAATTTTTAAGGGTAATGTTTTCGACTAGATACGATTTGTGATCTTTTGACGTATCATTGAAAGAAATCGGTTCGGTGAGAGCTGAGAAAAAGTGGTAACAGACACACAAAAAAAAAAAACACATCTTAGTAAAACCAATACCTTCTCAGCTTCGCATCGAAGCTAATAAGGACTTCTGTATTTAATACAGAAAAATGAGAATAGAAATTTGGCCTAAAATCACTTGACTTTAACAAGCTGTAACGGATGAACGGTTAATCTTATAAAAAAAATTATAAGAACAAAATTGTTTGTAATTTGTTTTTCTATCATATTATAAAGTTAAAAATAAGGGTTCCCATTAAAAAAAATTATAAATAAACATTTTTATCCCTGAAGGAATAAAAAAAAAAGTTATTTAACTTCATATTATTGTTGAGTTTTATAAACTTATTAATTTTTTTTTTTACAAAAATTTTAAATTCTCAATAGTTTCTGAGAAAATAGGTGTCTTACCAGATTTTGATCACTCTGTATAGAATTAATATACAGATAAGCGAGTTTTAATAATACAAAAAAAATTATTGATATCTAACTAAAACGCATGAAGCCCTTATAACATTAAAAATTACACACTGAAAAAGTGTTTTTTTGTTTTACTTTTTTCAAGCTTTCTCTCAGTCGTGATTACACTGGTAAACCTTAGCTCAAAATTGTGGATCCCCATAAGATATAATGTAAATTTTTTTTTTAAGTTACCAGTCTAATTTTATCTATTATATGGATAGGTTAATGAGTGAGTTATCAATTGATAAAATTTTTTAAAACTTTTTTTGGGTCATTGATAATAACATATTTTTATCAAATGTTCGTCGATGTAGTTGTCTTGCGGAACAAAACTCATAGCCCCATAAGGTTGTCTCAGATACGTTATCATTTATTACTAACAAATACGTTGAATTTAATCTTTTTGAAATTTTTAGTTTACAAAGAAATACGCTATTTTTTTACGTTAATTATTATATGCATATTTTTGATAATTAAAAATAGTTTTTAAAAAAATTAACTAATTTTTACTTGTTAATTATGTTTTATTTTATTGATTTTATTTATGCTTGTTATTGACTATTTTGTTTTGTTGAAAAAAATAACTTTTAATACGTATTTTAAGTATATATAAAGTGATTCTTTTAATACTAGCTATTTGATTTACTAATAATAATTCATAAACCATTTGTTTAAAAGGACTTATGTCTATTTTTCTTATTTTTTCAGGAAAAAAAAAAACTATTTCTTTCATAATCGATTAATTTGTATTATATGTATCTTAATACTATATTATACACAAGAACAATTTTAAGTCAATTTCTTAGAAACAAAAGACTTAGTTACTTTACAAAGTTAATAATGTAATATAAAATTTGTTTGGTAAAAAATATGTCATAGGTCCATAATGACTATTCAATTATGAAAATTATTTTTGGCATTTTTTAGTTTCATATATTTTTTTATTGAACATCTATTAATTAATATTATAAATCCTTTATCTCTTATAAAGGTATCAACTTTACTTTTTTAAATGACAATACACATATTTTGCTAGTTTTAAGTTAATACCTTTTCAATATGTAAAATTAAATTAAAAAGTAATTAATAACTGATCAATCTATAAATATATGAAATTTAAAAATACCAAAAATAATTTTATTAATATAATTACTAATTTAAGAAGAATCCAGTAGCTACTGTATATACTTATAGTATAAAAAAAGTCATCTAAATTTAATAGCGCGAAAAAAAAATGTTCGTATCCTCCTCATTATAAATTTCTAAACTAACCAATAATAATAATAACAATGATAATAAATGTTAAGTAATATTATTACAAATAATAATTACTACACACTAGAAATTTTACTTCTACGGGCAATAGTAACATTAATATTTCAAATGATAACATGCATAGAGATGTGGTGTGATATAGTAGATTATTCACTTCTGGCTTAGTATTGATGTTCAACTCTGTTGTTTGCTGTTGGTTCCCGAATAGGTGACCATATGGAAACTTTAACAATGACACAAACTTGACTCCCGTATTGGCTTCCTCAGTCAAAATGAGGTTGCGTCGGGCTGGTAGCCAATGTAAAAGTCGTGTTATATCATTGTAAGGTAGGGGTGATCCCTAATAGTTGAGATAGAGTCTAAGGAGATAATTATGACAATCGACAAACATGGTGTTAACAAAAACATTCCTAAATTATTTAATCTGAAAACTTAAGAAAAAATAATGAACAGACACTACTAGCCAATGCTATTAGTACCTAGTAATAACCCAGATAAATTGGCTTTCAACGTAAATAATGACTATTTAACAATTCATAGAGGAAAAATGAATGACAATAATTTGGAGAAAGTGATGTTTTCAAAATTTAACCGAATGATTTTATAAAGAATAAATAAATCGAAATTTTGAGCGCAATAAATAAATGTGTATTAAATATTTTAACTAATGATTTAATTTTTTTTTTTATAAAAAAAAAATAGAAGTATTTGAATATGTATTTTAAATATATTCTTACAAGCCTTTAGACTATTAAAGCTATATAATATTAAAATTTCTAATTTTTTAATTTAAATCAAATAATCACTTTATTAACTTATTATCATAGTCATAGTTAGTAATATATTGTTATTATATATTACTATTAAGTCTAGCTTATTACACTTCCAGTTTTCTTTTATCTATTTTCCCCATAAATACTTAAAACCACGGTATCAAATGTTTTTAGTCTAACAACCATCGGTGACCTTCGATGAGCTGCATGGTTGTTGTCGGTGTTCCTCCCACCATCATTATAAGTCGTCACCCCCCTTGCCATGGTCGTCAAAAATGGCGATAGTATATCTCGTTCATTGAACGTGTTTGCTTTATCCTATGCTTTGTGTGTTTCTAAATAACTCATTTAATTATAATTTTAATTTTGTGATATTTAGGTTTATAATTTGTTTTAAAAACAAAATATTTTTTGTTGATTAATCTATGTTCATGAATACCACAAAATATTTTTCAGGATAACAAATGTCGTCCTTGCAATTTATTGTGCATCCGGCTCCTGGGACTGATGATCAATTGAATGATAGGTATTTATTGAAGTATTTTTCTTTAAATTTCACTACGATACTTCGCGGTTAATATTTATGTGTTTCGCCTAATAATTAATCCCTTTAATAGTTAATGTTATCAAATTACTATTTATAAAATTATGCTAACTTTTCGTATTTTACTCTTGCTGGGTGTGGTGTGATATACCCTGACAGTTTTTTGGAGATTTTAAATAAAGTTTAATATTAAAAAAAAAAAAAAAAATTACACTACAATTGAACTAAGTTTATCCATTTTGTATATTATAAATTATAATTGTCAGTTAATTGAAGCTAAATTTAATTTTTCTGTTTCTACTAAATCATGAGTTGATAATCTACTCTTGATAAATAATCTAATCTTTATTATAGCTATATTTAATATTTTTGATATTTAAGTCAATATAAGTTTTCAGTTTTTTTTCAATTTGCAATTTGTTATAACCAATTTTGTATATATTGATTCTAATAATTACATATAATTACATGTCATGGTTTTCTTAAAAAAAAGAGCATCTGTTTTTTTTTTCATTAATTTGTTGAAATATTCCTAAACATTGAATTTTTAAAAATAATTTAAAAATTTAATATTATTAATTGTTTATTATAATATAATATTTGTGAAAATAATTAAAAAAAAACATATTAACTGTCAAAAGATACAGAATAAAAAAAGCTTTTAGTATTGTAAAATTAAAAATATCTGATTAATTTGAATGTTTATTAAATTAATAAACTTGTTAGTTTCATTTTGAATAATTTGTATAAATTGAGTATTATGTATTATTGTTTTACTATATTCGTTTTCAGATTTAAAGAAATATCAGAGCGAATTAACCGAAATAATTCAGGCAATAGTTCATTTCTATCTAGCATTAAGTCTCCTATCAAACAAATAGTAGTTGGACCACACCACATTGGCTTATTATTTGAAGATGGAAGAGTGGCACGTATTGCATTCTCTGTACTCGCAGATCGGTTGGATTTATCTAGAGCTACTGGAGATACAAGTAAAATCACTTCCAAATCTAGTAATGGTGGAAATAATAGTGGAAGTGGAGCTGGAGGAGGTAGTAGTTTAAGTTCTGCCACACGACATTTAACTAGAAGAGCACGTATCATGAGATCTGGAACTTTTCGTGGAACATCAAGGTGTTTATTTTTATCAATTTATTTTATCTGTATAATCAAATTTTTGTATTTGGATTTTTGCTTAACTTATTTCACTAAAATTAATTTTTCAGATCATCTGGCAGTGGTGTAATAATGAGTAGTAGCTCTTCAAGTGGAAGACCTGTGATGCCTGCACAGTTCGTACCTGAAGAACTTGTAGCACAAGCACAGGTTGTATTGCAAGGAAAAAGTCGAAATTTAATAATACGAGAATTACAGAGAACAAATTTAGATGTGAATTTAGCTGTTAATAATCTTTTGTCTCGAGATGATGAAGAAGGTGATGGGGAAGGAAGTGATGAAGTTGGAGGTGGTCCAAGTGGAGATTCCTATGTTCCTGAAGACTTGATGTCTTTATTAGATGGAGGAGGTTTTCACTCAGATCATTCAGTTATCATTGATGCTGATGCAATTTTTTCTGAAGATATGTTCTCATACTCATCCTCATCTAGAAGGTAAATTAAGTATTATTTTATTTTGCATAGTTTTTAGCTTTATAGGCTATATATATTGATTTTAGACCCGTATTGACATTTCGTAGGAGTGGTGCTCGACGATTAGGCGAACGGGACCGTGTCAATAATAGTGACAATTCTGGTGATCGTAATCTTGGATCAAGTGATAGAGATAGTTTTACAAGATGGAGAGACCGTCATTGTTATGGACAACAACAACATAGACAAAGGCAACAACAATGGTTAGAAGGAGCATTAAGAGATTCAGCTTGGGATAAAGATGCAGGTATTTATTCATGTGAATATTAAGTTTTTTCATCAACTAATTTTTGTTTAAATTTATTTGAATAGAATCTAAAAAGAAAGAATCTAGTGTGGGAACATTTGAATATTCGGCTGATTTGAAAAAAAAAGAAAATAGCACTGGGAATCCATTATGGTTATCAGATGAAATAGAATACTGGCCAGACTCTAATGTGAAATTTTTGCAAATTGCTGCTATTCATTCAGAACTTATTGCCCTTTCATTTGGTGGACAACTGTATCAGTGGAAATGGGATGATGCTGACCCATATAAATCATTAGATGTAAGAACAAAAAAAAAAAAAAATTGAGCAACATTTTTTTTTACTATAATTATTTATTTTTTAGAGTAATATTCATCATCCAAAAACTAGTGCACTTGGCTTGATTAACGAAAAGGTAGTTCTTCTTTCTGGAACTATTGTACGTGTTTCTGTTGTAACAGAATCAAACAAAGTAGCTACTTGGATGGATGAAAGCCTTACTCATGCTGCTACTGCCTCAAAACTTGAACATCCAGCTCAACTTTACACTGAATTTGTTGTTGATCATATTATTTCTATACATACTTGTCCACTTTACACTTTAGTCCGCTTAGAAAGTGGAGCCTTGTATTGGTGGTAAGTAATATAAGAGAAGAGAAAAATAATTATAACTAATATTTTATTTTTAAGGGGAGTTCTACCATTTAATCAAAGACGTAAAATATGGGATAAATATCGAACAAAAGCAAGAAAACAGAAAAGTAGTAACTTAAATTCTGATATCATAGTTGGTAGTCAAGTGTGTATGAAAAATAGCCCATTATACCAACCAGGAGCTATAGGTAAAATTACTAGTTTTAGTATAGTGTAATTGTATTTTGGTTCTGTATTGGCGCAAAAATCACTATTTGTTAATTATTATTTTTTATGAGAAAATTAAAAATATATTATTCAATCATAAATTTCAATAGATTTAAAAGTTTTGTATCTCTTAGAACAGGTTAATTAGTATAGCTATTGTTGTTTTACTAAATACTAAAATAGTAAAATTTTAACTGTACACTTAAGAGTTACAAAATTGCAAACATTTTAGATTAAAGTTTTTGTCAATAAGGTACAGAGTTAAAGTTTCATTTCATTGGTGATTATATATAGTTACATTAAGATAAAGATTTAAGTATTTCTACATGAAAATTTTGCTTCTATGTTATATCTATAGTGCTTAAAAGTACATTAATAGGTCACAAATTGTCTTGTAGAATGCTATGTTTAAAAATCTAAATTATGTTTAAGAAAACCTGCATCTTTTATAATAACACTAATTAATTAAAGCTTATGCAATTTTCATAAATTTGATAAATAATAAGAAGAAATATTTAAAGAATTATCTGCTATGAGTTATTAATCATCATTCAACCTTAAAATTATGAATGTGTTAAAGCTTTCATAGATTGTCTTGTTGCTTGAAGTGCTTGAGGATATATCCATGTTTGCAGTTGAGTTGTGACGTTTCGGACTCATTGCAGAGTCCATCTTCTATGCAAGATTCTAATATGCAAGTATAGTTGCAGCCACCGACTAGCATCCATCACTCTGAAGATGGACTCAGCAATGAGTCTGAAACGTCAGAACATATCCTCAAGCACTTCAAGCAACCTTAAAATTTTTAATATTATTTTCAATCCCTGCATCAAAGTGTTTTATGACCAAGATTTGATTTACTATTAGATTTCAATCTATACTAGTTTTCGTCTATGCTTAGTTGCCAATGTATTAAGTATTAATTTTGTATTTATCATTAACACACTATTTTAAGTTTTCACTGGACTAATATTGCCATTAATACATCTTGAAATCATGAAGTATATCTAGTTACTTTCAAAAGTTAAAAAAAATCTTTTCAACCCTTATTTATGTACATTTTCAGGTATAACATTATATGGGGGTGAGCCTAAAATTGGTCAATTATTAAATTCAGCCTGGACCTATGCTGATGTATGTAGATTTCAAATTTTAACTTCGCCTCAAATTTTTCAATCTCAGAATATTAATAATGCAGCTAAATTTAATAATTTAGTTGACAAAACTAAAGAGACTGCTGATAGAATTGATATGCCACCTCCTCCTTCACCAGCATCGAGTACTTGTAGTGATGCTGGAAATTCTGTTCAAAGTTCAAGTATGTAATTGAAAACTTTTTTTAAAGTTTGAATACTCTAATGTTTTAGAAATAAAACTTAAATTGACACATTGTTTAGAGAGAACCAAGAGAGTTACTGTGAAAGGTCCTGAAGATGACAAAAATATGGAAGAAGATTGGCCATTAAAAGATGTCATATTTGTCGAAGACCAAAAGAGTTTACCAATCGGTATATCATTTTTTATGAAAAAATTTATTTAAAATTTTTAAATTAATTATAGGAAAAAATAATTTTGCAGGTCGAGTTGTTCATGTAGATGGTTCATATGCTGCTGTTAAATTCCCTTGTGCATCAAAAGAAAATATTTCTGGAGTCTTATCTAAAGATAAAGATAGTGCTTCATCAGCTAACGATGATATTGTTTCTAATATTATTAAAATGTTAGATCAGCATGAAGTTAGATTAATGAAAAAAGATGATCTACAGGTAAGTTTAATTTTTATTATAATTACAGGGTGATTTTGTCATATACTACTTCACATTTTATTAACAAAATATATAAATATAAAATGATATTAATAAGGAAATAGCAGATCATGTATCTTTTGGAAAAATCACCAATTTTTTAAGATTAAACACTATCTAAAGATTTGCATCAAAGTATTTTTTTTGATAGTGATTTTAATCTCTGTCAGATATCATTATACTTAATCCAACTATGCTACATAACCACTGTGCAGCGACCCCCCTGTGCTTGAAATGAAATATTTTGTAATATATTTTTTTAAGTTACATATATTTCATACTTTATTAGCTAATGATTATTTTTTAGGATCAACCCTTATGACATATAGGGATGCCAACGTAATGGTAATATATATATATTTAATTAATTTATAAAACAGGATAATCTAATTAAGAAAATGACTGGTTGATAATAACTTTTACCTAAACAGATTGAAGAGTAAGGCTGGAAAATGAGTAGTGATAAAAATAGCAGCACCTAATCCTCACACCATCCAGTTATTACTTTAAATTTTTAATAACTTCTGAAATATTAGTCCCAACATTTTAATTGACCAGTCATTTTTTTAATTATATTATTTCCTATTTTATAAATTAATAAAACATGTACGTTGCCATTTAAAAAAATTTGACATTCCTTTAAAATATAAGGGATGATTATAAGAAGTAAATATTAGCCGATAAATCATGTGTAACTAAAAAGAAATAAAAATTTTTTTTTCAATATTTTATTTACTTTTTAAATAAAATTGTTTTTAATTTTAAAATTAAGAGTATTATTTTGAAAACTTAACTATTTTTGTTCATAATTAGTTATTCATTTAAAAATTGTCACTATATACGAAGTGTGTTTAGAAAATAACGGGAATATTTTTATTTCGCTTGTTTGGAGGGTCCGATTATCAAAATGTTTTTTTTATGTTGGTACACATGTTCCTGAAGTATGATAAAATTTACAGCTGTGTTAATTTTTTACTTTGTCAGTGGCAGCCGCTAAAGTTAGTTGTGTTTTTATGACCTTGGCGATTTACGTTTGTTAAAAAAAATGGATCAAAGGATTTGTATCAAATTTTGCATAGGAAATGAATTAAAGTGTGTGAAGTGTTAACAAAGGTCTATGGAGAGTCTGCTATGAGTAAAACAAAGGTTTACGAGTGGTATAGCGTTTCTAAGATGGTTGTGAAGACATTGAAGATGACAAAAGCACTGACCCCTCAGCACATCCACAACCAATAAAAACGTGAAGAAAGTGAAAGAAATGGTTATGAACAATCATCGAATCACAATCAGAAATGAAGCTGATGATGTTGAAATATCAATTGGCTTATGCCTAGAATTTTTTTGAATGTCTTGGGTATAAAATGTGTAGCAGTAAAATTTGTTCCAAAATTGTTGAATTTCGAACAAAAATGACAGCAAAAAAAAGTTGTTCAGGAGTTACTTGATGAAGTCAACGTCAATGTAGAATTATTGAAACGTGATATATCAGGTGACGAAACTGAGTTTATGGATACAACATCAAAACAGTGAAGGCATTCTGGATCGCCAAGATTGAAAATAGTATGGCAAGTGCGATTATGCGTTTAGGTTATGCTTACTGTGTTCTTCGATTTTAATGTGGTAGTGTATCATGAATTCTTGCCACGAGGAGGTCAAATGGTCAATAAGGAGTACTACCTACAAGTGCAACGCCATTTGCTTGAAGAAATCCAAAAAAACGCCAATGAATGGCAAAATAATTCATGATTTTAGTATCATGATAATGCACCTGCTCACATTTTATTGCTTGGTCTTGAATTTTTGACCAAAAAAAAATACTGTAACGATGCTCAAGCCTCCATATTTGCCAGACATGACTCCGTGTGACTTTTTTCTATTTCCAAAAATAAAGAGAACCTTAAAGGCCCATCGAATGATCTAAAGGCTATCCCAAAGATTGAGTTTGAGAAGTGTTTCGAAGATTAGAAGAAGTGTTAACACAAGTGAATAATATCTAAGGGGGACTTTAAATCAACAACATACATTTAGACGAATAAATAAATTTTTTTTTCAAAAAACGAAAATTACTATTATTTTCTGAACTCACCTTATATATATGGTATCCTACAAAGTTTTGACAAAGATTATACTTAAAGAAGAGTAATATCATTATCTAAAATATTCAGGTGTTTTTAAATTGCATAACTAGTATTGTAAGTTTTTTTATACATTGAGTATACTATTTAAGGATTTAAATTTTTTAAAGCATATCTTAATGTAATTTTTTTAATTCAAAATGTTTATAAGTATTTTTTGTTTTTAATTATCAGGTTTGTAAAGTAGCTGTTGCAAGTAAAGTACCTGATTGTTTTCAAAGAACTCCAAGAAGAATAAATATTCCTTCAGATAATGGAAATCAAATTTTAACATTAACAGTTGATGGACAAGGTAAATATGAAATTTCTTTTAACCTATTTTATTGAACATGGGTCCTTAATGTTAACTTCGATGAGAAGCTGAGAAGTAATTACTTTTACTATGATGTATCTTTTTTTTTTTTTTTGTGTCTGTTACCACTTTTTCTCAGCTTTCACCAGATCAATTTCTTTCAACGATACGTCAAAAAATAAAAATTGTGTCTAGTCGTAAAACATTACCCTCAAAAATTGAAAATTTTTCCCTTTCAGCTTTCCTGTAAATAGGGGAAATCTCCAAAAAAATTACAAATTTAAAAATTGCTAATTTTTGTCATTTTTTTCAATTTTTTTACTTACAATTTCTATAACATTTTTAAAAATAACCAAATCAGTATAATTTTTTTTTTTTTATATAGATGCTTGATGTCTTTACCTATCATTTGGTATATTTTTTTTATAAATTAAACCCATTAACAGCCCACAGGGGGGAATTCAAAATGACAACTTCTTTACAAAAAATTAACTTTTTCAACTTAACTTTTGAAAGTGTTCTGGAAAGTTTGAGACTTTTATATATATCTTAAATTAAAGCTAATGTAATATACTTTATAATGGAAAAAAAAAATTTCGGACTTTATTTTGTCTTCACGGTGAAAATAGCTACCAAATGCTATTTTTGTGTGAAAATTCTTGATTTTATATTTTACATTTTTAACTTTATTATGCTATAACTTTTTGAAAAATGTATGGATCAATATAATTTTTTTATGAGGAATAATATTTATATTCCTCTTTCATTTTACATACTTTTTTTTTTTTAATAACACCATTTCCCTTAATATAATTATATATGTATATATTAAACTTATAAATCATAAAACTTGTAATCAGGATATAAATAAGGAAATAGGAGATCATGTAGCTTTTGGAATAATCTATCAATTCTTAAAATTTAACACTATCTACAGATTTGCATCAAAGCTTTTTTTTTTATGATAAAGATTTTAATCATTGTCAGATATCATTATACTTGACCCAACTATGCCATGTTGTATGTTTTTTACAAAAAAGATTTTGAAAATTTCAATGATTCATTTATTTATTTATTTTTAATATTATTTTGTTCAATCTTATTATTTTAACCTGTTATTAAATATTTGTTTGATGTATTAAAAATAATACATTTCAATATTAATGGGATCTATTTCCAATATTTTTTTAGGAATTCATGCAATTGTTAAAAATGGTTCAAAAATAAGTTATGTTAAATTTAATATAACAAGTGGTAAAATAGAACAAGATAGTCCATTTCCAGTAGATTCTACTGCTATAGTTGGTCTCAATCCTGATAACATGCAAATATTATGCACAGCTGAAGTAATTAAAAAAAATTAATTTTGCTAGTTCAATTTAAGAATTTTCTTGTTTTTTTTTTAGAGTAAAGATAACATATGTATTTTAAGAGATGGTAATCGTACAATTTATCCATTAGCAAAAGATAGTACTGACTCTATGCGAGAACCTCAGTGGTTAGATTTAGGTCCTGTGCGGTGCATTGGTATTGGATCACATACAGTGATGTCACCTTATATTAAAGCAGTTACTGCTATAATAGTTTTAGATGTTGAACAGCAAATTTTAATGTCCCGAATATTAAAATCTAATTTTGAGTCAGTTAAAATGCTAGTTCAACAGCTCACCATTGAAAATGGTATGTAATTAAAGTAAAATTTAAAGAACAAATAATTATAACTTGAACAAATTATTAGATAATGGAGAACTTCTTTCACAAATTTTGGCTGAAAGATGTGATGGTAACCGTAATCTATTTCATGCTTGTGTATCTGTATGTGCACCTATGTCCAATAAAGAACATGATACTGGTAGGTTGTTTAATTTGTAATTTTTTATAAAGACAATTTCATCACAGGTATTTTTACTTAACTTTGTTGTTTAGAGATTAAGTAAGTGTTGAAATAAAAAAATATGAATTTTTGTCAACTAACAGTTTGTGATAAATAATAAAACATAGGTATGAACTTCCTAAAAAAAAAAAATTTTATGTATGAAACTTAGAAAATGAGTTGAGTGGATTTGTTTATTGAACTAGCCTCAAGTACTTGATATAAATTTAAATACTCCGATTTTAGTATAACTTTCATGTAAAATACTTAAAGCTTTGAAATAGTAACTTATAGTAATTAGTTAGTTCTAGTAAAATTTTAAATAAGTATTATTTCTTTTCTTAATATTTTTAAACATTCAACAATTTAAACAAAATTTATGCTATTTAAAAATATGCTTTGTAAGTCATTGTTAAACATTCAAACGTTAATTTATCTCGTTCGAAAGAAAAAATTACTTTTCAATGTCATATATTTTTACAAAATTCTAACAAACATAAGTATAATTTTTGAATTATTATAGTTGGTTGATTTAATCTTGAACTTTTATGCTTTATTTAAGTGAAAAATCATTTATTCTTGTTTTTGGTCATATCATGATAAAATTTATATGTATATTTAATAATTATCTTTAAATAATAAAAAAAAATCAATTCTAAATTTCCGAGCATTATCAATGTTTAATTATTTTTAGATAATGAAAATATTTTGAATCAGTCAAATTCAAATGTTGATACTTTAAATGTAATTCAAAAAGCATTTGGTGTTCGTTCATCATTTAGTTTGAGAGAAATGATGAGAAGAGCTTCAGCTGCTGTTAGAACTGGTTTGTTAAATAATTAATTCATTGCTTATTATTGTTCTTAAATGCTGGTTTACTTGAATATGTTATAAGGTTCTACAAACAATTCATCAGATTCTGAGCCAATGGAGATGGCTGAAGATGCTCAAATACCCCCTGTAAATGTGCCTGAACCTTGGCAAGAACCAGTTAATGCAACAATTCAACCACCTTCTGTTTTACCCAATGAAGATGAAGCAGTTCAATCTGCACCAGCAATAAATCCAACAACTGAAAGGCGAAACAATGCTTTATCTATATTGAGGCTATTATGTGAATCTAATGTTTTTTCTCCATATCTTTTAGATCTATTAACAGCCAAGTTAGTTCCTTTTTTATATATAGTTCAAAGATTTTAAGTGATAAATATAACACAATTATCTGGGATAAACAACTTATTTTGTTTGTGGAAATTGTGAATAGTAGAATTGAAATTTAGATAAACATAAAATCATAGTAAAAACAATATTTAGCAATCATTTAAATTCTTGTTTAAGATTATTATCCAAAAATTGTCAGAAATAAATGATTTAAGGTTAAAAAGAATTATTACTAAGTATAAAAATAGAAGATTAGCAATATATATGAATATTTAAACTATTACAATGCCTAAGTAAATTAATAGTTTGGTTCCTCAAAACAATAAAAGTAATTGGGAGCTTCTAGTTTTTAATTAACATGTGAATTATTAATATCTATAGATTCAAATGTATTTATCAGTACAGCTTAATATGAAGTCCAAATTATAGTTCCATATTCTTATATGACATTTTTTGTACTATTATTATTTTTTTTTTATAATATCACTTAGAAAAAAAAAATTGAAATTTTTTTGTTTTATTGCTTTTTATAGAGATGCCCAAGGATTAACACCATTTATGTTAGCTATTACTGTCAGAGCCTATCCTGCTGCATTAATATTGCTTGATACTATTCATCGAGTGGTTTCTAAAGTAGTCATACCACCTCCAGTGTTAGAATTACAAGGTACATCTTCTACCGAACAAGAATATGCTATTAAAAATGTTATGAATGCTTGGAGATCATCAACTGCTGGAGCTAGTCCTAGTTCGTCTACTAATAAAATGGCATCGGATTTGACAACACAACCCGTGCCTTCATTTAAAAATGCTACTAATAACTTTGAGTTAACCCACCCATGGACTATAAATTCTACTGGATTACCACAACAACAACCCAGTGATTTTTCTAAAGGTTTGCATGATTTTTTTAAAATTCATTTTTATTTATTTATATGAAAGAAAATAAATTTGCATTTTAACATATATTATTACATTAAAGCAGTTGATATAATACAAACGGATTTATAATTTTTATATCAATATATACCAAACTTATTTATAATTATTTAAGTTTACAGGTTATATTTAGATCTTTATTTTTATTTATAAATTTGTAATATGACTTAAAATTATTTTCTTAGGATTTTTTACAATTCCACCACCTCCTCCACCACTCCCATTGACATCTTTATATAAGACACATATGTGGTATACTGACAGGTCAATGTTTGTTGAAAATGAAAAAGAAAAAATATCTAAAGCAAAAGAAGTATTATCTTCAATGATTTATCCTAGTGGATCTAACCCAGATTATTGTCCATTGCATGTGCTTTGTTGTAATGATACTTGTAGTTTCACGTGGACTGGTGCAGAACATATTAATCAGGTATATATAATTATATGCTATAAAATTTTTATTTTAACTTTTTACAATCATAGTTTCTACTTGCTAAATTTAATTATTATTTTAAACTTTAAATAGCCACAATGGTCAAGTATTTATTTATTATGATGATTTTTTATTCATTAAGTTAGTTTTAAAATTAAGTATGAATAAGCAAGGTATTAAATATCTGAAAAAAATTGTGTATTTTTAACACGTTTATATTAGTTTCCACGCCCACGTGTCCTACGGCCTTGAGACTAGACGTTCGTAACGCATCCCCCCCCCCCCCGCTCACCATACGTCGACAACAATATTTTCCAACCCATAGACGCACGCGTGTCATCAATTTTATATATATATATATATATATATATATATAAATAAATTTTTTGTAATAGATGAGAAAAACTCGAAAAATACAAACAAAAAGTATAGTGTAAAAATACATAAAAATTAATAACTGAACATAACATAATAAAAAAAAAAACCCAGCACAGGGGGGTCGCAGCACAGTGGTGACGTGGCATAGTTGGGTCAAGTATAATGATATCTGACAGTGATTAAAATCACTATCATAAAATACGCTTCGATGCAAATCTTTAGATAGTGTTTAATTTTAAAACATTGGTGGATTAGCATTAGGTAACTATTTTCACCGTGAAGACAAAATAAAGTCCGAATTTTTATTTTTCCATAAAGCATATTACATTAGCTTTAATTTAAGATATATATAAAAGTATCAGACCTTCCGAACACTTTTAAAAGTTAAGTTGAAAAGGTTAATTTTTTGTGAAAAAGTTGTCATTTTATATCCCCCCTGTGGGCAGATTTACAAAAAAAAAAAATATACCAAAAAATAGGTAAAGACATTATCTATAAAAAAATAATGTATATTAATTTGATTATTTTTGAAAAAGTTATGGTAGTTTTAAATAAAAAAAATGTTGAAAATTAGGGATATTTAAATTTGTAATTTTTTTAAAGATTTCCCCCCATTTACAGGAAACGAGGGAAATTTTAAGGGTAATGTCTTCGACTAGATACAATTTGTAATCTTTTGACGTATTGTTGAAAGAAATCCGTCCAGTGAGAGCTGAGAAAAAGTAGCAACATACAAAAAAAAACACATAGTAAAACCAATACCTTCTCAGCTTCGCATCGAAGCTAAAATTATGACAAACCTAAATAAAATACATATTATTACATAAGTAATATACTGTATTACTTATGAGGTATTAGTTTTCTTTTATTAATAAAAAAATATACTAATATTAATAATATATATACAATTAATCATTTTAATTTTACAATATTTTTAACAATTTAAAAATAATATTGCTTCCTATATTATAAATAATTTTTGAAGTAAAATTTCTTTAAAGAGGGTTCAAAAAAAAAAGATTTTCGCCCAATCATTTTACGCGAAAATTAAAAACAAACGGATTTTATACTTAGATTATATAGTCAAAATTCTATTCTTTTATATGTTTGTCGAATAATAAAATTTTGACTGTATGCCTAATAGAACAATAGAATCCTTCATCATAAAAGGGATGATCAAACGTGATGACTGAATATGACAGTCAACCATGATGTGTTATAATTGTGACAAATGAATTTTATTGTTCAATGAATGTATACGTTCCACAATTGTTTGCAATTTATTGGAATAATGTAATAAATACTTTGTATTTAAAATTCATACTACTTGATTTTTAATATTAAAATATTTTTAATTAGTATAATATTACTTTTTGATAATAATCTATTACTAATACATATAAATTTAATAATTTGTTTATTTTATTCACTTGATGTAAATTTGAAAAAAAATGCACTGCTTTTTTTATTTTAAGTAATTTGCCAAAGTAATATTAACAATTTAATGACTCAAATTCTAAAAAAAAAAAATCACAATTGCATACATTTAAAATTAATTAATGTAGTTTAAACAATAATTCTTTAATTTTCGAAAACAAAATGCTACATATATTTTATTTAATTAAATGAATTAAATTTTATAATTATATTAATTAAAATAATTATAATTTATTACCTATATTATAATTCTTATTAATAAAAAAAAATGTTGATAATATTTCTTATTTATATTTATCATATTTATCATATTTTCTTATTATTTATTATTTGTTATTTATTTTTATTAAAAATGAAGTATAAATTGTCAATAATAAATAATAAATAAAAATAATTATTAAATATACTTAAAAAAAAAAAAATTATGGTATTTATAGATTTGGAAAAAGCGTATGACAGAGTACCGAGAGAGGTTTTAAAGTGAACATTTAAGAGAAAAGGAGTTCCCGAAAAGGTACATTAATATAATAGAAGATATGTATGATGGCATTTGTACCCAAATTTATAACGTAGGAGGAGTATCAGAAAATTTTCGGTTAAGTGTAGGAGTGCACCAAGGTTCAGCTTTAAGCCTTTACTTATTCTCTATAGTGATAGATGAAATTACTAGAGAAATACAAGGAGAGGTGCCGTGGTGCAAGTTGTTTGCTGACGATATAGTGTTGATAGGAGAAAATAGGGAAGAAATTAATCAAAGGCTAGAGGTGTTGAAAAATAGGATTTAAGAATATGTAGAAGTAAGACAGAGAATATAGAGTACGAGTTTGACAAAGGAGAACACGAGGTATGTGAAATGAGAAGGTCAGTGACAATAGGCGAGGACGTGATTGAAGAGGTGGAGAGTTTTAAGTATTTAGGGTCAGTTGTGCAAAAGAGTGGTGTTATTGACGAGGATGTAAGACATAGAATTAAGTGCGGGTGGTTGAATTGGAGAGAAGCGTTTGGCGTCTTATGCGATAAAATAATTCCAATGAGGCTGAAAGGTAAATTCTATAAGACTGTAATAAGACCAGCTATGATGTATGGTTCAGTGCGGTTGATAAGAAAGTAGAGCAGAGAATGAGTGTAGCAGAGATGAGAATGAGATGGATGAGTGGAGTGACTAAAAAAGATAGAATAAGGAACGAGCATATAAGAGGGAGTATAAGTGTAGCGTCAATCGTAGATAAGATGAAAGAAAATAAACTTAGGTGGTTTGGTTATGAGAAGAGAACAATCGGAAGTTGTAAGAATAGTTGTAGAAATGAATGTTGAAGGAAGAAGAGGTAGAGGAAGACCAAAAAAGAAATGGAGGGATGCTATTGAATGCGATTGAGGACAGCTCATGTGAGTGTAGATGATGTGGTAGATTTCAAGTAGAAGTTTAGGATAAGGGTGGCCGACCCCAAGTAGTTGAGATTAAGGCAATGGAGAAGAAGATACTTTTAGTTAAATGTTTCTCACAATTTTTCAATCATAAAGATTTTTTTTTTATATTCATCCCTTATATCTTATAAAAGTATCAGCGATATTTTTTTCAAATAGTAACACATATAATTTTTGGACCAGTATTTCGATGATTGTAATTGAGAGAAACAAATAAAAAATCATTTGTATTTATTTATCAGAAAATAATTTATATAAATAAGAAATATTATCTATAATTACTTCATTTTTAGCTTCGATGCGAAGCGGAGAAGGTATTAATTTTACTATGATGTTTTTTTTTTTTTTTTATGTCTGTTGCCATTTTTTCTCAGCTCTCACTGGACCGATTTCTTTCAAAAATACGTCAAAAGATCACAAATCGTATCTAGTTGAAGACATTACCATTAAAAATTGAAAAAAATTCCCTCGTTCCCCGAAAATGGGGGAAATATCCAAAAAAATTACAAATTTAAAAATCGCTAATTTTCGAAATTTTTTCACTTTTTTTTCTTAAAACTTCCATAACTTTTTGAAAAATCAACAAATCAACATAATTTTTTTTT